TGTGTGGCTGGTGTATCCCAATCAAATCCTGTTCGAAAAATCAATTATCTCGGCAGTGTCTTCTAATTTCATCCTTTTGTTCCTGACTTTGGGTGAAAATCGCAACTGATAAACTTCTCTCTCTTTGGCCACCTTCTTACTATACGCCCTAGCAGCATTATTTGTTGTCATTTGGAGATTTGTTGTAGCGTGGATCACGTCGATCACCTTCACTGCGGTAGTTTGGTTGGTCTGAGGCTCGATCCTTCCACTATTAGCTCGATCATCCCCACTAAGAAAGGTGTCCCACCTAGACCAACTCTTCCAAATGTTGCTTCAACGAACAACAATTTTCAGTCATGTATCCCACGTCTCAATTATAGAAACATCTGAAATTGGGATTCCTTTTCACGGGGTCTCCAGTAAGGTTGTTAGGCCACTTGAAATATGGCTTCCCCTTAATTTGAGTCAATGTTTTATATATTAGCTTTCTGAACACTGTGTTTAGTCCCATGAATGGGGATTTTGAAGGGAACCCATCCTTTTCTTTCTTTCTCCCGGCATCTCAATTCAGTTCATCCTGTTTATCTCGACCGAACTACTTTCTACCTACTTGCTCTTTCTCTACATCTCTAGATAAATCGTCATCAACTTTAGTGCACTTTTTGATTCTTGCCATTAGCTCCTCCATGTCCACGGCAGGCCTTCCGGTAAAGGATTGATACAAGGGGTTTTCTTTCAACAATCCAATTTTGAAGGATGTCACAGCAATTTTTGGGTTACAAGTTTCAACCTCATTCATCGTTTCTCAGTAACGATAAGCGTATTCTCTCAAAGTTTCATTACTTATCTTCTTCAAAGTTAGCAGAGCCCCAACATCTTTGGGTTGTTTGTTGCTCGTGATGAACTAAGCTGTGAATTGCTCGGCGAGCTGAGTCCATCCATTTATAGAACCCTTAGGCAGACTATCGAACCACTTCATGGCCGACTCTCCTAGGCTGCTAAGGAAGATGGTGTAGAGCAACGCCTCGTTCCTCCGATGAATGGTCATAAGTTACCAATAATGTCTGATGTGAGAGGTTGAATTGGTCTTTCCATCATATAACTTAAAATTCAGGACGGTGAATTTCCTTGGGATTCGCCCCCTTTCTATCCACATAATGAAGGGTGAGGACTCCATATCGTCTCTATATTCCCCGGTGGCTCTCCTGGCTAGGTCCTTAGCCAATTTTTTGCTCTAGTCTCTTCAGTCGGTTATTGAGCTCTTCAGTAATGAATTGCTTCTAGGAATCCTCATCCTGTCCCTGACGCCTTTTCTGCTTGTGCTCATCTTCCTTGGCATTTTCTCTTCTATCTCGCTTCTTCTCGGGACTCTCCCATCAACTTTCTTGTTACGTCTCTTTCTCTTGGTCATTTCCTTGGCAAGGAGGGATTCGCCACGGTCGATTTTTTGCTAATTTTGGTGTCGAGATGGCCTGAAACTTACTGAGGACAACTCGTCATCCTCACGGGTTTTAGCTGGGCTTTTGTTTATATCCACTCCGATGTCGCTATTGGATAGAAGCAACACTCTGTATTTTGGATCGGAATCTCCCAAGGCCAGACTACCTATTGGTGAGCCGATGACACTTCTTAGTCTTGACATTGGCATTTTGTTTCGACTGATGAAAATCTTCCCACAGACAGCGCCAAAATGTAATAGGCAAAAAATAAGAGTACCTCCTACAGGAATCAATAGATTGATATTTCTAGTAAAAGCGTGCTTTTGAACTTGATCTTTCAGTCTTCCCTTTCCTGTAAAAGGAACAAATTTTCCAAGATCAAAGTGATTCAATCGAAGGCACTCCGATGCTTAAGTCAGTAATAGAACTAAGTGAATTGCAAGAAGACAAGGAGAGTTCAGCGTACCTTTCACCTTGGCTCCTTATGCCTTTTATAGATCCCTGTTTAGTTAGGATTTCCATGATTTTCTGCTCAAGGTGATACACCTTCCCTCAATTAGGTGACTCTGTTTGGGTCATTGCTGAGATTTCTCTAGCAATTCCTCCTACCAAGCCTATAATTATGCCCATTTGTTTAACCAGAATACCTAAGTTATAGGCATCTTTTCAGCTCTTCGTTTATTGTTTGAAACAGCTCAGTCGTGATGAGAACCGAGCTCTTTGAATAACTCAGCTTCGATCTGATGACTAAGTATAATGATTTCTTTGTCATGTGATTGACCTTGTCACCCTCACATGGGATCATTTAATGTAATTACACGTGTCACAAAGGAGTCACTCCCTTCAAAACTAACAAAGTGACAACATTATGTGACACTATAGAGAAATTTAATGTAAATGATGAAAATTTGTTAATCCAAAATCACAATTTCAAATACATTTGATTTACCATAAAAGATATCTACTTTCTTAATTTCAAATACATTTGATTTATCTTAAAAGAATAACTACTTTCATAATTTCTAATACAAGCTAGGGTTTGTGTATTACAAGTTTTGGGGTTTTAAGAAAAAAAATTTGGATGATTTCTTACCGTTAATCGTCAATTCTGACAAAATGAAGCCGGATTATTGATGTAGAGGGAAGGATTCTGACGATAGATGATTCAAATAGAAAAATCCCAAATCGACTGCTTAATACCGTGATTTCTCATCCAAGCTGATGATTTTCAATTTTTAGAGTGAATGGTAGGAAATCCGATAGTTATGGATTAAAGAAATATATGGAAACTTATTTTTTTGAATTATAAACAAGCAAAATCGAAATTATGTCATCGGTTGAAGCTTGTTACATCGTCCGTGTTTGAGGGAGGTGTGCTAACTAGTGGTGTTAAAGGAAGGGGTGCAGTTTTGGGTTTTTTGAAACCAAATTGTTGCAACTGTAGCAGTAATTGGAGGATAGTCCAAACTTTTTGCTCTGAAGTGGACTTTTACCGAATATGTTTTTCGTGTTGGACTTTTACCCTATTAGGTCTTCTTAAGTATACCGAGTTCTATTTTTCCCAAGATTATTCTTTGAGCCTAGTCCCAAATTTATTCATTTATTAAATTTTAATATTTAGCTTTTAAATTTAAAAATAAATTAAAATTTTAAAATATATGAAATAATTATTCTGAGTCGGTTTGTGCAATCTAATAGGCCTATGTGTCGTGCGGATACCTAGGTTATCACAAAAGATGGCAAAAATATCTAATAGTTAATTAGGCTAGGGTCCCTCATTTGGTATGGAAACTAATTTTAGTCCCATTGGATTTTTTAATATATAAAAAGGACCTCCATTTTTAAAAAAAAAATTGCATCAAGTCACTGTGTGGGCGCGAATGTATAGTGGTTGGGCAATTAGTGTGTTTTCATTACTCATTTTGCCCTCATCATATGATTTTAGCCTAAAATGCAATTAGTTTCCTTTTTTGCGTTTGTTATTGAAGATTTTGTGGTATTGTTTATCAGTTTTGAATTTTAAATTCGTGAACCAAGCAATTTGGTATATACTAGTCGTTTATGTTTATCTTAAGCTTTGTTTTGGTAGGTACATAAATTAGATCACAACTATTAAGTTTTATGTATTCGTTCATAGGTTTAGGTACATTTTCATTATGATTTATATAATTTTGAATTATATTTAGTTTTATGTACTTGTGTATCTGTAATGGTGTATATGTACCTTCCTCTTAATTACATACTGATGTATCTATTGAATTTTTTTGCCATTTCCTTCCACGGGCCTTGTTGTTAGACTTGCACAATTAGGATTCCAGATAGTCGATATCTTTTTGCATGCGATCTTGTTTGGCGTCTGCTTCATTGAGAAAATTTGTAAGTATTTCTATGTTACTCTTTGTTCTTTGCTCCCTTGACTAATCCATTATTTTATGTGTTTCTGTTCTGGTTTATTGATATGCTATTTATAGAGGTATTTCCATGGGTTAGATAAAGAGGTTTAAATGTATGTTCATTATAGTGTTAATTGCGTAGTTAATCGAAGAAACGTCTTTCTATCCAAACATCTCATCTCAATATATATGTTCTAGAGATACATTAAATTCAATTGCTATTAGTAAATATATCTTAATGTACCTGTGAACCACCAATTAACGGGTACATTAATCGAGAATAGGTCATCTTTTTTTAGTGTACTTGTCTGATGATCTATGTTTATGGAGAAGAATCTACATTATGATGACGTAGCTTTTTAGAATAGGTGTTTCAATTACGTGATATTATTGTCATTATTTTTTGTAATTTTAAAGGGTGTTAATTATGTCCATTGCTTGGACTTTTCAATAGGGACCTAATCCAAAAGTAAATTGGCAAGTGAATTTTTTTTTTTTGGAATCCTATTGAGCCTAGATATCGGCTTCCAAAAAACTCAAAATCTAACCTATCCCTAGTTTTTTTTAATTGGGCTATTTGGGTTGATCCAACCACATGGCCCATGACGAACGCTACACCTACAATATAGGCCACAAGAGTTCTCCTCATAGGAACATCATATGAAAATTTTGTTAGATCATAAATATAGTTTAATCAAAGCAGTTATAATAATTAATATTCGAGTATTTGAAATTCAAAATTTATCGCTAAAAATCAAATGCAAACATAAATATGACACACACTGCAATGTCATGTATGTGCCATAGCTCTAAGTAAATAATAAAGGTCCTCCCAACTCATGGCATTCAACCATTATCCAATGTGAAAAGTGTGGTTTAAGACTAGGCTCAACCGACACCCTTTAATGAAAGTTAAAGTTTAGAGAAAATTGGGTGTGGGTACCTTTTTTAAGTCTTATTTGGATATAAATTCTCGGTTTTAACATATAGGCATTTTAGTCTAAAACAAGTATCAAAAATTGTAAGTAAGAATCAGATACAGTTTAATAGGATATGTACACACGGGATATCATGTAAGCCTTGAAGGCACTATTGTATTTTCATCATATTACCTTACTTTTATATAAATATACAGCCAACCCTACTAGGGTAGTAGGCCATTCTTAAATCCTGTCATGGTATTAGATCAATAAAGCTCTTCTTGAGGCATGAGCTTTCTCCGTTTTCTTTCTGTTGCAGAACTGTCTCCTTTCTCTCCTTTTCTCTTTGTCTCTTCTTCATCCTTCTAAAAATCCATATTCAACAGGAAATCATGTCTTCTTCAACAACCAGCCCAGCAATTCCTTCTTTATTCTCTTTTCCTATCACCAATATCTCCAACCATGTCTCTATTAAACTAGATTCTGAAAATTATCTTTTATGGCCTGATCAACTTACCCCCATCCTTCTTTGCAATGATCTCATGGGCTATGTTGATGGATCAATCTCTCCACCGCCCAAAACTTTGACTAACAAGGAAAACAAACCTCAATCCCAAATCCTACATACGTTGAGTGGCTGAAAACAGATCAATTTCTTCTCTCATACCTCAAGGGTACATCACCTAGCGCCAGTGCGCAAGTCCTGGGTTTGTCAACGTCCCGCCAAGTTTGGGACACCTTAGAAACTATTTTCCATCAATAATCTCAAGCCAAACTTGATCTTCTTCATGATGAATTACAAGGCCTCAGTAAAGTTACGCTACCCATTGAAGAGTACTTGGCTATAATCAAAACTCTTGTAGACAATTTGGCTGCCATAAATCATCCTGTATCTGATTTTGAGTTAGTCACTCGCACTTTGAATGGACTTCCAAATACTATGGAATATCAGCCCTTGGTGTTTACAATAGAAAATCGTGAACATCCCATTCACTTTGATGATCTTCAGGCACGACTATTAGTTCATGAACAATGTTTGAAGCACTTCCATTCTCAGTCATCCACGCCCATTGCCCCTGCTGGTGCACAATTATCTGAATCTGCTCTAGCAGCCCGTTAATTCAATGATGGTAATCGCCAGAGCACTGATCAAAGACGTGATAATCGCCAAGGTCCACGTCGTGATCATCGTCGTGACAACCAACCCTCTTACCCTCATTATGGCTATGAAAATAATTTACCCCATAATCAAGCTTCTTCATACCATAACCAACCTCACTATCAAATTTGTAAAAAGCCTGGTCATACCACAAATCATTGTCATTTTCGTTATGCTCGGAATAATCGTACTTCCGATGATCACTCCACACTTGCACAGAGTTTTGTTGGACTGCATTTATCATCACATGTTTCATCTGACTCAGTTGTTGATCACATTGAGCCTCACTAGCTTGTCGATTCTGGTGCAACCAGCCATATGACATCTAATCCGGCTCTTCTTCGTCAATCTTCACCTTACACAGGCAATGATGGAGTCTATGTTGGTAATGGTAATTCTTTGCACATTTCTCATGTTGGTAAATCATCTCTATGCACGGGCATATAGTCTTTAGATTTAAATGATATTTTATATGTTCCATAATTAAAGGAAAATCTCCTGTGTATTGCCAAACTCATTAAAGATAATTTATGTTTTATTCCAGCACAGGGGGTGCTTGAGTTGACTAGTAGGAATGGACTCGACAAAGAAAAGATTGGTACAAATAAAAAGCATGTAGCAATTCAGTTTGGTGGCTATTCTTCTTCTCCAGCTTCAGGAATAATTTGGCATAGGCGACTTGGTCATCCAGCTCACAAGATCACTTCTCAGCTCAAATCTACTAAGTTGATTCTTTCTCTTGATTCATCCTTGACTTATTCTGTATGTGATGCTTGTCAAGTTGAAAAAAGTAAACGTTTGCCATTTAGTTTGTCTATTAGACATTGTTCTACTCTTTTTGAATTAGTACATTGAGATATTTGGGGGCCTTCGCCTTTAATTACTGGATTTCGTTATTACATATTATTTGTTGATGATTTTAGTCGTTTTGCTTGGATTTATCCCATGAAACGTAGATCCAACATTCTTGCATGCTTCCAAATTTTTAAAAATACAGGGGAAACTCAATTTGGGCACAAGATTAAATGGTTTCAATGTGACGGAGCTAAAGAACTTGTTAAGGGGCCTTTTCGCTCATTTTTAAATGACCATGGTATTTCTCCATTTCCTCACACACTTGAACAGAATGGCCAGGAAGAGCGCAAACACTGGCATATTGAAGAAATGGGTCTTTCCTTGTTATATCAGGCTTCTTTGCCTCATTCTTTATGGCTTGAGGCTTTCTCTACTGCAGTTTATCTCATTAACCAGCTACCTACTCCCATGCTTGGACATCATCCCCCCCCATGAGCTATTATTTGGTTCTTTGTCGTACTCTGATCATTTGTAAGTATTTGGTTGTGCTTGTTATCCCTTTTTGGGGTTTATCGCGAGGACAAACTTTTGCCTAAATCTCGGTGATGTGATTTTATTGGTTACAGTTCAATTCACAAGGGTTATCATTGTCTAGATCCTAACACAGGTCGAGTATTTGTTTCATCATGTTGTGTTGAATGAAATATGTTTCCTTTTGCAGATCATCCTATCTCTGGCTCTTCTGGCATTCTCCCCACTCCCAACACTACTTCTCCTGTCTCCTTGCCACTTGTTGTGCCTCCTACATTGATCCATGGTTCATCCATTCCTCCTCAGTCATTACCAACGACCATTATGCCTGAACTTGCAGCTACAACACCTACTTCCCCTTTTGGCTTTCTTATCACCTCTCCTAGATTTCTTTACTGTGATAACTTGAGTGCGACTCAACTAGCTGTCAATCCTGTTTTTTATGCTCGCACCAAGCACATTGAGATATCCTATCATTTCATACGTGATTTGGTGAATTGTGGCTTTCTTAATGTACTATTTGTTCGTTCTTCCCATCAACTTGCAGACTTCTTTACCAAGGGTCTTCCCATTTCTACCTTTTCCATTTTTTGACACAAGTTGTTGTGGAAGCCTCCCCAACAACTTGCGAGGGTGAAATAGGATATGTACACACAGGATATCATGTAAGCCTTAAGGGCACAATATTAATTTCATCATACCCTACTAGGGTAATAGGCCATTCTCAAATCCTATCATAGTTCAAATATGTTCTTTATGCAGTCGCTAGGTGAGAAGTAGAGTCCAAATGTATAGAAGTTTCTTGAAACTATTAATGGGTAAAAACTATGTTTCAAGAATTTTCTGTGTCTCAAGTCTTCTCTAAAATAATTCCTACAAATTTTGCAGGGAGTACAACATTGCATACTAATATTACTTTTGTTGACTTTTTAGAGCTAGCATGGAGGAAGATCCATAGATGGAGGCAGAATAGTTTGATCTGGTCCTAGTGAGATTTGTTGTTCTCTTAATGGCCTAAATTTTTAAACAATGAATTTATTGTTCTTCATCTGAGTTGCTTACTTGGTTAATCTGGTTCGAGGTAGTTAGTGATGGTGATATCTCCAAAACTTGGAATTTTGCTTGTGAATGTTCATCTTACATTAAAAACTGGTAGAATAGTGGAACTCCTTCTAGATAATAGTTTATGAGCTTTGTTTAGTGGGATATGTTTATGGTGATTTTATGATTAAGTTTCTGGAGATAGTTATTGTAAGAACCCATACACAATTTAAAGACGGATAACATGATATTAAGAGTACTTCCAAAAAGATGATAGAAACTTCAAATTGTTGTAGAAAGATTGATCATGAAGTTTGGATTTTGCGCATATTGATTTTCGTGTCGATAGTTTCAGGGGTGTTTAAGCTTGACAATGGTGACTAGATAAGTTTTTAAATATGTTTAAGTCAAAATAAGGCTACCACTGAATCTGAAAAGTCAAAAATTCTTGAGAGAGGTTATATAGGGTGTATTAGAAGTTTGAAATTATTCTGTAGTTAAAGCCTATTTTGGAGAGAATTTGAATAGAAAAAAATTTGACACTACCTTAATATTTTTCTATAACTGTTTACCCCAACATCCAATTGAATTGATTTTTAGACAATAGAAACTAGACTTCGAAGGATAAAAAAAATGTATTTCACGAAATTTTCCTGAACTGACTTCTAACTAGGTCAAAATCAAGCCAGAAATCTGAACAAAAAGTTTTCAACATTTAGACGCCTTATGCACCGTTCGAACGCCTGTACCGAAAAATAAATTTCGTGTTTAATCAGAATAAAGGAGAAACATAGAGTTGATACCATCCGAATGCTCCCATAAACGTCCAAACACCTCACTAAAAATTTTAACCCCCATAAGCCTAAGAAAGTTTGAGGAGAAGAAAAAGTAGGAAAAAAAGGTCTAAATATTGAAGGATTAAAGCATGATAATTGCATTAAAACGTGTTAGAATCAATTATCTACTAATTAAGGTAATGTTCTTTCTCAAGTTCACTCATTGAGAATTAGGATTATTTATACATATGCTTTGTCTTTTATCCGATTATGTATGATAGATATACAATGTTTTTATACTCTTTATGAAACTATGATTTATTTATTAGAAGAATTTCATGTTTTACATAAAAAAAAACTCATATTCTTCATTATTATCAATTTAAAGATGTTTCTTGGGGATCTCTTGTATTTTTTTCTTGAAATTATTCTATGTTGACAATTGTGGAACCGTGATACCTTCTTTTATGTGGGTATGATGAAAATTATCTCTTGTATTAGTGGGTGTGATAAACATGAGTTACCATTGATCAAATATCGTAAAGTGCATAGATGTGTTTCTTACTTTGAAAGATTTGAAAGTTCTTTATCACTCGTAGTAGAATTCATTAACTGATCACCAATAATATACTATTCATGTGAATGATTTGTCATTGTCGATGAGTTGGTATATGTCTTTCCTAAATTGATTTATCCTTGCGAGGATCGATTGGATGATGGTGTACGTGTGTGTGGGCTGGGATATTATCAGTGTGTGTATTATCAACAACGAAATTTAAGGTAATTATGGGCAAAAGAATTTCTTGGAAAAACATGTGCTTTTACTTGAGAAACCAAATTTTGTTGGTAAATGTAGGTTTTTGCCTAAGAAATTGAATTTTGTCGATAAATATTACAAGTATTTCATTTTTCCCTAAAAAATAATTTTCTAGTTGAATCTATTTTTTTTTGTTGTAGTGGTCGAAATAGTATTACTCTCAATCTTCAAAGTTGGTAATTTTGAAACTTAATGGACAGTCAAAGAAATTCATCAAAGATAACCACCCAAATAAAAAGTAAATTACAAGGTAATGGAATGAATCTTTCTCAAAAGGTAATGGAGGGGATCTCCAAAAAAAAAAACAGTAACATACAATTAGACTGCTAACCTCACAGCGAAAATTTTGACCATTGCAGTAACAGCCTCCTTCAACAACTTAATTTAAACAATACAAAATTTTGATCACCGAACTCTATTCCATTGATCTTTAATTTTCATTCAAATAAACGATGATGAAGCAAGCTGTGACCATCAACTCTACATTGACCTGTGACCCTGATGGAAATTGTTGGCTCTCTCTGGAACTTTCCATACTGTTCTGGTCATTCCAGATTAATTTCCTCTCCCTCTCTCCCGTCTCAACTTCAAATCCAGAAGTTCTTCAAAACGAATAAGCCCAGAACAGACAGGTACAGAGCATAGCCGAAACCAAACGAAGCTTTGAGCGAAAGAGGAGCAGCAAAGTGAAGAAGAGAAAGAGGGTTGAAGTTGAAAGAGAAGAAGAGGAGATGGAGGTGGACTACTACAAAGTATTGCAAGTTGATAGGAACGCTAAAGATGAAGATCTCAAGAAAGCTTACAGAAAGCTTGCCATGAAGTGGCACCCTGATAAGAACCCCAATAACAAGAAAGAAGCTGAAGCCAAGTTCAAACAGATTGCTGAAGCCTATGAGGTATCTACTCTCTCTCTCTCTCTCTCTCTCTCTCTCTCTCTCTCTCTCTCTCTCTCTCTCACACACACACACACAGACACCCCACAGATCAATATCGTCCCCATGGCTCTTCTATTTTCAATACCATATTCAGTGGCTTTATTTATTTCTGCCTTTATATTGCGAATTAAGACTACATGATAAAATTCTATCAGAAGACTTTCTGGGTTTTTCTCTTGATATGTCTGAGTATGTATATGAATATGTTTGTATAAGTTACATATTCATAACCAGAAACAACCCAAAATCTGATCTTTTTCGTCGGGATTTTCTTTGATTCTCTCTGAATTTTGCTAATCGCCAATCAAGAATTTATCGTATGATAATTAAACTGGGTTTTGTTTCTTTATCACTGAAAATTCAGGTTCTGAGTGATCCTCAGAAAAGAGCAGTGTATGATCAGTATGGTGAAGAGGGGCTAAAGGGTGTGCCACCACCACACGCCGGCGGTCCAGGTGGAACCACCTTCTTCTCTACCGGAGATGGGCCAACATCATTTAGGTTCAATCCCAGAAGCGCCGATGACATATTTTCCGAGTTTTTTGGGTTTTCGAGCCCATTTGGAAGAAGCGGTGGCGGTGGTAGTGGCGGTGGCATGATGGGTTCAAGATTTTCAAGTAGTTTGTTTGGTGATGATCTCTTTGAGGCTTTTGGGGACAGGGGAGGTGGTGGGTCAATGCACCAAACAGGGCCTAGGAAGGCACCTCCAATTGAAAGGACTTTGCCTTGTAGTTTGGAAGAGCTCTATAAAGGAATCACTAAGAAGATGAAGATCTCAAGAGAAATTGCTGATGCTAGTGGGTAAGCATTTCCTATAGTTGTTTGAATTTATTGGACTTTATTTTTGTTGTTTATCCAATTTTGGTTCCGTTGACTTTGATATGCAAATTTGGTAATCGTTCATCGATATGTGTTTAAATGGTTCTTTGGTTCACCATAGGTACTTGTGTGTCTATTACTCATTTGCAAGGAAAGGAAAAATCAGCGGCCAATATCAATTTACATCTCAAAAGATCATTCAAATTTTAATTTATTTCTTCAAAGTTTAAAAATATTAATTTATATCCTAAAAGATATAATTCAGGATATAAATTTATATAAACTAGCAATGCAGCTTGTGAATATATTTAAATAATAATTTTTCATAAGAAATTCAAATTATATATGTAATTAAATTGAATCTAAATTATGTGTAGAATAGTTAATTATTATTTTAACTATTGTTAAATTTAATTATTGATCTATTCTACCCCTATTTGAATATCTAATCTGTCGTTTGTTTAGATATCTCCCCGCATTCGACAATTTTCTATTTAACATAGAAATCAAATAGGTATAGGAAATAAAAAGTGTATGAAAGTAATAAAGAATTTAGAATTCAAATATTGTAATAAAAGAGTTTAAAATAACTTAAAAGTCAAATAGATAAAGGAAATAAAAATGAGATCAAAGTAAGATGTGGGTATTATTAATTTTATAATAATAATTAAGGATATAAAATAGGAAATCAAAAATTTTTCACTGATGCTTACATTTATAAGTAATATAGATGTGCACCTAGCGACTCTGTCCATTTTTCCGTTAATAAGGTTGGGTTAATTATAAATTATAACCTTCAAGTTTAAATATTTGATATTTATTATCCAAAAAGAATTTTATCCATTAATGCTCGTTAAATAGGTGTCAATTGTATTGTATCGTAACATCTTCTTGTCATGTTTGAGTCAATAAAAAAATATTTTTTAAAATTTTAAAAAAATTATAAAATACTTATTTGTTACCTACAATACTCGATAAATAACTATTTTTTGTCTATAGTTAGACACAAATTTTTTGGTTGTCCAATCAAATTAAAGTTAGATACGAATAACACAATTGTAAACTAAAAATTGGTATTTTTTAATTTTTAAAAAATATTAAATAGTATTATATGAATTGTCGTAAATGTGAAATATAAAACACAGCACAATTGACCGACACAAAAATATTTTTTGTTAAAAATATTTTTTATAGACTTGAATACAACACGAAAATATTATGATACAATACAATTGAGAGTTATTTAACTAGTATTAATTGATGAAATTCTTTTTAGATCATAAATTTGAAATATTTAAATTTTGAGGGGTGTAATTTATAATTAACCCAAACTTTTTTAACTGCAAAATAGATGACAGTTAGTCTTAGGTGTATATTGATACGTATTTATATCTTTCAGGGTGTAAATAATAGTTTTAAACTTTGAAAGTGCAAATTGAGATTTGAATGATTTTTTAGGGTGCAAGATGAGATTAGCCCAAAAATCAATTTGTCATTTAATATGTTGTAGAAGATGAGATGCCTCCCTAGTGGTTGCCTAAGACAAGTCACACTTCTATACTTGATGTGAACAGATGTACAATTATTGCTGTCAAGATGGTTCAGATTTGTGGGTGCCATATTTGAGACTCACTTTCCCATCTCCACCTACACCTGATTTTCTTATCTTCATTTTTCCTTAAATTAAAATGTATTTGAAATGCTTAGAGTATTAAAAGAGCATGAAAAAGTGGTTAGATTAAATTAAGTTTCAAGATATAAAATATAATAGGAAATGGAAATGTAGGGTTAAGATGTGCACTTACAAAATTTGGTGTTGAATTTATGAATATTTCTTGTAGTTTCTTCGATTCAAACGCTCACATTTGGATTTCATGGGATCAAATTCATTTTATGATAGATAATTACTGAATAAAAATTAATATTAAGGAGATGTATAGTACTAGCTATTGAAGTAGAAACTACAGAAATTGAAAAGTTTTGTATCCCAAATGCATATTTGGGTATACATTTATAGACAGACATTTGTTAAATAATTTGGTACTTATTAGCAGGACCTCAGACCTACCCAATCTACAATTTGTGTGGAGAATAATACCATTTTGTCACCTTCCAGGTGAAAACATTGTCCTTGGATACATACTAATAGAGGGCATGCTATTTCACGAACTGAATTGTAAACTGAAGTGAAATTTCTGTTTTCAAACAAAGCAAGCCCAGTCCACTTGTTGTATAAACACTCTTTCTTACATTTCAACCTTCTGGTAGTATGACAGTGCCATTTGCTTCTTAGAACTATTCTGATCAAATGCGAATCACAGATGATGTACGCAAAATCCTTTATAGGATTACCTTTTGAAAGGATAAAAACAGTTGGGATACCAAGCCCATGATTTGGTACTAAAGTTGTTCATACCAAGTTCAGTGCATTTTGTTGAAGTTCATTCGTTGCTGCAAATGTGTAATTGCTAAATGTAGAGCATTTCACTTTGGAGTTGCAGGACAATGTTTCGTAGACTGGTTTTGGGCTCTAATCGTTGCATCTTGCGCCATCTTCTGTAATAAAGTATTGCACCTTAGCTGTTACTTTCTATAGTGCTTGTAATGAACTTCCCATTAGGGACTTAGATCATAGTGTCGTGAAATTTCATAGTTACACCCAGGTTGTTTTCTGCTTCCAGGATTAGATTTGTGAGTGACATAACATTCATGACATTTATAGTTATTTATAATGTGGACAACCTCATAAAAAGACTTTTGCATTTTATTTGTTGGTTGCGTCTTTGGTATGTATGGACTCTATTGGACGTGTGATATCAATCATATCCCTAGTTTAAAACACTTTGTTTTGGTGCAGTAAGACCATGCCAGTGGAGGAGATTCTGACTATAAATGTCAAGCCTGGGTGGAAGAAAGGTACAAAGATCACCTTCCCAGAGAAAGGGAATGAGCAACCAAATGTTATTCCTTCCGATCTTGTCTTTGTCATCGATGAGAAACCTCATAGCGTGTTTACCCGTGATGGAAATGACTTAGTTGTCACACAAAAGATACCTCTGGCTGATGCATTGACAGGTTACACAGCCCGCCTTACCACCTTGGATGGCAGGAATTTAACCATTCCAATCAACAATGTGATTCATCCAAATTACGAGGAGGTTGTCCGGGGTGAAGGTATGCCAATTCCAAAAGATCCATCAAAGAGGGGAAACTTGAGAATCAAACACATCATCAAGTTCCCAACAAGGCTGACTGCAGAACAAAAGGTTGGTGTCAAGAAATTATTGCCTTCTTGAGATCGACTTATTGGAGTGTCAAATGCATACGAGGCAAGGCAGTTTTGTGAATATACTATACGCCTTTGAGTGAAGCTTATATTCTTTTAGAATTATAGAATGAATGTCAATTTGAGGTTGGCCGTTTGAAGTTTTTAGTGTTATAGTTGTATATATCCCTTTGGTTGCGATTTTGAGTTTATGCTAGTTGATGTCCTGAAACATGAAGAGTAATGTCTAGTTTTTTTCCCCAGTGATGACTATGAGAGGTGGTGTAAAAATATTTGCAGTTGAATTGTATTACTACTATCAGCCATGTGTTTCTAATTCTTTTGATCTTTGATCTTCTATGGTCATCCTACATAATGCTTGTGGATTTTTGATGCTCTTTTCATGTCCTGGGCAGAGATCAAGGTTTTGTCTGTATTTTGGAGTTGGCTAGTCTAAGATATTTTGTTCCGTTTCTTTCCTCCAAAAAAAAAAACCCATTTTAAGTTTTTTTTTTTTTTTTGCCACAAGGTGTTCAGATTTATGTTGATTATTCCATGGAACTCGGATATTAGTCACCTTAGTTCAAGCGGATTTAGAACATTATTTCCTAAGAAATAAAAGTGGTTGATATTTAGAAGATATGAGACATGTTGAATCTAGGAAATAAGGTGATTGGTACTTAGAAGACATGAAAAGTGTTGAATTTAAGACGTAGTGGGGTTTAATCATTGAACCAATCCTAATAAAGATAATTACTTGATATGCTACTTTCTCATTCTACTTTCTCATTCTAGGATCTCCCTGTCGAAAGATTCTCTACATATTTCTCCAATTGCCATCACCAAATTTCAAACCCAATCCAAGAATACAATATTTTTAATCCTTCCGAAGTTCTACAAGGTTGGATACATAGAATATTTTCCCTTTTTGGTTAGTTTTGTTTTGTTTCGTGCAATGTAAAAAGTAACAGACACAAGGTAGAAAGAAGCGCAAAGACAGAGATCCACAGGTAAAACTTACATCTCAAACAAAACAAAAAAAAGACTAATTTCCACAAATGGCCCTAAACTACATCATTTGTGTCAATTAGGTCATCTAAACTAATTTTTATGTCAAAACAGTCTCTCAACAATGTAATCTGACTCAATGGCATCATTTCATCCAAATTCGTTGTTAACTTTAACAAAAAGTCTTACGTGCACATCACGTTTAGGGATCGCAGTGGACCAGAAAAAAATGAGTATTCAACAAAATCCACCTCATTTGGACCGGAAATTAATAATATGTATTAAACGGTAGACGTATACGTAAATACCCGTATAAACTTGTTAAGTAAAATACACATTTGTTATATAAAGATATTATATATAGTCTAGGGACCATCTGTTTAGTTAACTACAAAAAAACAAAAGAAATGTAGCTGAGGGTGTGAAAAAACTCAAAACTTGAGTACCACCAACCCATGTACACCAGGTGATATAATTAGGCCCTTTCCGGGTACCAGGTGAAGGCTCGAAACTTGCCATTTCCTACAACCATTGCAAACAGGATTACTTTCGTGACCATTAAAATTGCTGTCCAAAGATGGCATTACAATATTTATTTTGTTTGCTGCAAAAGAAAAGTGTCATTTCAGAACACCATATTACATATTTTGGCTAGACTTTGTTTACAACTTAATACTCAAATTCAGATAAACAAAGATAATTTCATTCAAAGATGATTCACAGTGCATTAAGGTGATCCGCACTGTAATTACAGATCCCCAATAAATACATAAGGTGTAAAAATTACAGAGGTAGTACCAGTGGTTTTGAGAGGACTTCAAACTTGATATACAGTTTGTCAATCTTTCTGAATTTATGACTTGTTATTCACTGTAATCTGTCGATGTAGATCCTGTAACATCATCTGGGTTCCACATTTGCTGTCCACCAATATCCTTGTTCCCCTCTTCATCCGACTCGCCATTAAAGTACCCTCGAACATCTACATCTCCCTCACCATTGTCATCCTCATCACCATTCTCATCATCTTCGTCATCATCGTCTGCCTCGTCGACACCACCATCCTCGTCTTCTTCACCATCTACATTATAATCGGCACCCTCCTCCGTGAAGAGCTCAGGCTGGCCGTTAAGGACACTGGGATAGTTATCCACCATTAAATCATCATATTCATCTCCAGTCGCATGACCATTATCTTCATCATAATCCGATCTTTCTGAACTGCTAACACTCTCAGCACCCACAACTTGCATCTGTGCGGTTTCTTCCCCAATCCACTCCTGTGGACTTGCACTTCTAGGAGTTTTCTCAAAAATATTCTCTTCAATTTCATCTCTAGCACCAGCTATCTCTGCCACCCTCTTCACTGGCTTGTGTCTACTTCTAATGGACCGACGACCCTGCCTACGTCCTCCACGTCCACGTGTTCGCCCTTTCCACCCCACCAATTGCCCAAATCTCTCGCTATTTGTCCTGGAACTTCTCTGGCCAGCTTCAGATCTCGACCTAATGACCCGTCTCTGAGATCTCCCACCACGGGTACGACCACGGCCTCGTCCCCGCCCTCGCCCTCGCCCAGAGCCAATTAGTCCAGTCCCTGGATCAATCAAAGGATCTTGTGGCAAATACCCAACTCCATATGGAACTTGTGCCAGTTCATCCTCCGGAAAATTCTTCACAACAGCATATTGTGACAGTGGTGTCTGAATACAGGAAAAAGTGAGAAAGCAGCTTACAAGGAGGAACAAAAATATGGACACCTTCATTTAAATGAAGAAATGCTCACAGATTAGAAGTGACCCACAGCAAATATGTAGGTTATTATAAATGCTATTAACGTTATAGGAAAAGAGTATACCCTACAAAAAAAAAACACAAAAGAAACAAAACCACAAAAACAAATGCTTCCCTTCAATTCATGTTCTTTAGCTAGCAGAACACATTATTTTGTTACATGAAATAATTGTACTTACTATGAAATCCCCAGCTCCTCTGTCATTTTGAGACTCTGCTTTCTGATCTGGCATGTAATAAATGGAGGCATCAAGTTCCATAAGCCTCAGTGCCACAGCAGCTGTCGTTTGAGGTACCCATGGAAGCACAGGTACCGTTTCAAGGCTGAACAACTTATTAGCAGCACTTCCTATCAGGTTATGAGAATCCAACAATTCATTGGTGGTCTCATAATTTGAAAACAAAAAATCCCTCTTTATGATACCCTCCAACAATGTCAAAATCTGCATAAACAAAGAAATAGTTAATCAACTCCACTTAAGAAAAGAGCACAAGAAACTGAAAAGAAAAAGAAAGTCTCCAGACACCAAATAGAGACGATTTCCACACACAGGATTAAAAGGAAGAATAAGTCCCCAAAAGTAATTCAACAAACGTGTAAAAGATTTTATCAATCACAGAACCATGAGACAACCTCAGACTCGGTGAAAACAAATTGAAAAAGGAGAGGGGACACACAAAATTTCAAAACTATTGGTTATTGATATCCAGTCCAGGATGCCTCTCTGCAACTAAAGAGTAAAAGGATCAAAAGAAATATGGTTCGTTCGCCACAGGAGTTCAAACTATTCTGTTTCATTAGCTCCTAATATCGGGAGAAGCAAATCTCCTTCATACAACAAACCTGAAGTTGATCACCAAAAATTACTAAAAATATGGATCCCTTTTATTGAGATTCTGAAGATGCATCTATTCATACTGTAATCAAAAAAACCATTCAAGACATGCTATGATACAAATGAACCAGGGTTGCCACTGTCTCTAGTTAAGTTGAGGTTAACACCGTGAAATCAAACTAGGCTGACCCATTAATTGCACCAGATTGCGAACCTCACCAAATTCCAACTTGAATTTTCATTCTGGAGAAACTTCATCTGGAATTTTTGTTTTAATATCAAATAGAGTATAAAGAAAATGAAGTCTCCTTGCATCAGGAAACCATCATAATATCATACAGCTACTGACTGAATGAATAACTGTGAAAATCAGAAATACTGATGATAGATATCAAATACTGGTTAGAAATAGTGGAGGAAATGATACAGGAAGCCATGTGGATCAACATGTACCCAAGCAGTTCATAGATGGGCTTGAAGAGGACAATTTTCCAGCCTATTCATCTAAGTGGTTGAATATTCCAAAAGGGGGAAAATGAAAGAAGACATCGCCGTTCATATAGAGAAAAAGGGACTCCCCCCCCCCCCCCGCGTGCGCACGAGAGGGGGGGGAGAGAGAAACGTAAAAGGAAAAAAAAAAAAAAAAGGAAAGAAAGTGGACTTAGATGTGGAGTATAAAGCGTTCAATAAAAAAACTGCAGTATTTTCCAGAAATTATCAATAAATAAGAGAACATTTTCCTGGAAAAACAAAAAATCATATTTCCCTTTACAAGATTAGGAGATAAATTTCAACGAACAACCGGAGATTTGATCGCATAGAGTTCAATTCCCATTCTCAAACCATGACCACTATGAGCTGAAGGCTTCCTTTGTAACTCCCAGAACTTCTTCGTAAAAGCTCCCTTCCATGCCTTGATCGGAAACCTTAAAATGGCTTTATTTCATTATATTACATCCATATCATAAATCCATTCATTTAATATCCCTTTGGTGTCATTGACATAACAGATGTCGTTTCTAGTATACGTCTTTCTATTTCTTTTATATATATATAGGAAATTAAAAATCATCACAGAATTCTGCTACATCTCCTGATGAAGTGCTATAAACAAGGTAAACATGGAGCGACAATGGAGAAAGGTACATGCTTTTTAAAAGGGGAGAAATATTGGTTAGAACAGGGGGAGAGAGAGAGAGGGGCAGACAGACAAGACAGACAGACCGACCAACCTGGAGAAGATCTTCGACTGATGATGAAGAGAGCAGCTTTATACCCCAGGATTTCCGAAAATCCTCTGACCAAGCTGGCTGAAAAGCTTCTGCAGGAACAGAAACCTGCCAGGGCAATAAATATTTACCATAAAAGGTGCACTGAACAATTACAAAAAAATATATTAAGGACTGAAGATCAATATCTTTATTTCAATCAAGGGTAGAATATGATAGTGACTGTTGTAAAGCATATATGTAAGCAAAAACATGTTCTTACCTCTACTGACACCAATTGTGCTTTGAGCAATCTGATTCTCAGAGGAGAGGAAGAATCCTGACCATGCAGAGTCCAACTGGGATCCACCTTCAGTTTCTCTTTGCATTGAGCTACATGTTCAGAAAAATTTACATCGCTGACAGATCTGACATAAGTCCTATGGCAAGAAGGACAGTGGTTATACTCAAACAAGTACAAATCTCGGCAGTAGTCGCAAATGCTGAATAATTTTTCGCTTCTGGTCTTCCCATACTTCATGGCACATAACATCGAAGAATTATAACATTCTTCCCACATCCACTTTTCAAAATCTCGATATCTCTTGAAGGCATCATTTTTCTCTGTTTCATTCCTCCCCAGTCCAATACTGAAAGTTGACGAGGCTTCTGGCATACCAGAATTTAAAACAGTAATGCTGGGACTAGCTATACAGGAATTGCAGTCAGGGTTCAAAGCTATTTCAGAAGCTTCTGTTGTATTAGAATGTCCAAGGTTATCCCCACTGTAGGCCCGCAACAAGTTCCTTCTAACACTTTCCTTGAAAGCCACTTCAATCCTTTGCAACATTGAGTGCAAATGGGACTCCCTTATCCCACGTACATCCAAAGATGCCAACAGCGCATTGAAAGCCTACATGTAGCAAACAAATAGAACTATCAAAATCAAAACATTCACATGAGTATCACCATGAAAAAGAATTGTGTACCTAATTGTATCATCCAGTTGCACCTTACAGCCATAAAAACCCATTATCAGTGTTGGTCCCACCAATAGGGAGCTTTAGGAGATATCGGTATATGAAAAACTTAGCTACTCCCAGACTTCATCTCACATTCTTGTGATTGACTGCCCAAGCATTTGAGCATTGTAGCAATCAATGGCTTTGGCGTTTCGCTTGAGGACACATCCAGTTTATCATTTTTTGGCAACGATTACCCCGTTTGGTTGTAGGGAAAATAGGAAGGATGGAAAATGAAGGAAGGAAAGTGGGAGGGAAGGAAAATCTTTCCATTGTTTAGTATGGACGGAAAATGGGAGGGAATGGAAAATGGAAGGGAAATGCTTTCCCTTGAGCCCACCAAACATTTTCCCCCAAAAAATGGGGGGGAAATGGACTAAAAATGGAGGGAAGATAGACTTTTTTGTGAATTGACTATTTTACCCACCACTCTCTGCTTCAATGTTCAGAGAATGAGACCTAAAAATTTATTTGCCTCCCCTTTTTTTTCCTTCTCTTTTGGTTCCCAATAGTCCCATAATTCAAACCGTTTAGGTCTAATTTTTTTAATTATATAATTTTTAGTATTTAGTATTTACCACATAATATAATTAGAACTTAACTTATTAAGTTTGCTTTTGTATATGTAATGGAAGATTTAATATTTAAATGTACATAATGAAGAAAATACATAAAATTTCTAGTTAGATACACATTAAATAATTAAATGAAGAATTTCTTTATAAGTAAATTTTATTTTTAATTTTATTTCAATAAATGATACAATAGAACATGAATTTTGGTCGTAAAATTTGAAATATTTAATATTTCATCTTTGATTGAAGTATTTTTTGTCTAATTATAATATTTTAAACTTAAAAAAGGGTCTAAATATTATATACTTATAAACTTTATGGGGTTTAAATATTATATAATTATAAAAAAAAATCATGCATTTTGGTTTATTTTCTTTAATATTATTCGTGTAATTAGATGTGAGGGTCTAATGGTAAATTCGGTATATGTATTTTTCCTTTCCATCCAATTTTCTATCCAATATCAAATAAAGAAAAATGCATCCCTTCAATTTTTCATTCATCATACCAAACATAATGAGAGAAAATATATGCCTTCTAACTTTTCATCCTTCCAACTTTTCATCCTTCCAACTTTTCATCCTTTTTTTCATACCAAACGGACCCTTAATTAGAATGCAACAACCTTAAAACAAACTGCTAGATCTTAGATATCCTGCTAATACAAAAACTTGAGGAATCAGCTGATGTAACAATACAAGGGGAAACCACCAATTTCACCATGTCAATCGAGGAGCGGCAACTTCCATAACAAGAGGGTTAGAAACATCTGAAGTAGCAGAAAAGGGCACAATTTTATAATGATAGGCTTTTGCTACATACCAAATCGCAAAGAAAGCTTTTTATGCACAATAAGAGTAGAAAAGGGGAGGAACATAAAAACCAAAAAAAGAAAGAAAGAACTTTGGGACGTGGGGAGGGCCGGGGGGAACATACCATCTATAAGCACAAAGGGAAGGTGATCCATGCACATAATGCACCCACACAGAGTCTACATAAGATTTATCTACAAAAGAAGCTAAATCCCATAAAGTCAATTATACCTCTTCAGAATCAATTAGCCTCCAGTGACCATCACGAAGCTCAACGAAGATCCTGCCAGAGCCGGGATCATTTTGAGAAGCTGCTGTCATAAATTGCCAGTATCGATTTCTTCTGCGATCTTGCCCAAGAGGCAATGATCTGTATACATACATCTCCTCTGCCCTGTGACCAATATAAGCTTTTAACTGTGAACGTGACTTCTCAGCAGCATATCCGGATTGCTGAAGTAGAAGACTATCTGGGCCAGCAGAGAATTCTTGCATTGGCAAGTTCCTTCCAGCAGACATATTAGGATAAGTGGGGTTATTCTGTGAATCACCCAAGTGTTCCTCATGGACTGCAGTGTTTGTTGATGCCAAATCAACTTTGTCATCAACAGAATGAAATGGACTTTGCCTGCCCTCCACAACAGACGTAGAAAGAGTTTGTTCGGCCTTGTTACCTAAAAAAGATGGCACCTGCATCTTCATGATATACTCCTCTTTCATCCGACGCTTATCAAGTTGTGCCTCTGCCCATATCTGCTTCTTCAATGCATTTGCTGCTTCCATGCGTTCCTGGAACACAATCCTTTCAGATCCAAGGGAAAATGAATTGCAGAAATAGTGAGTTTATAGTAATTTTCCACAAAAGAAACATACAATCTTACCTCTAGGACAATGCGAATAGAGTTCCCTTCATTTGCCACACCAATTAAAGCAACAAGGGCATTAAGGCGCTCTTCAACACTTAAATCAGAGAACTCCCCTTCCATAAGTCCTTGAACCCACAGTTCACCAGAGTTGCTTTCATCAATCACTGTGTCTTCATGATTGAGATTAGTTGCCTGCTTATAGATCACGGCATTATCAATAGATTGATTAACAGAAGCACCATTGTTTACATCCTTGAAGCCTACAGATTCCATCAATGAGAAACCGCTGCCCAAATCCCCAAGATCACCATGCGGAATTTCCATCTTCTTATCATGAGAAAGCTCCTCTCCATTTCTGGAGCAATTTTTCTCTTGAGATCTGTTCGCTTCACGAGAAAGAAGGGCATCTTCGTTTGGCTTCAATTCAGTACCCAAATCATCTATCTCAGGATCCTCGGCCACATCACTTTCGGAATCTTCATCTTTTTCAACATCATCTCTTTCAACATCATCTGCATCGTCTCCATCAAGATATCCATTATTATATACCTGAACTTTTTGTCTGGCTGCAGATAATATTGCCTCAGCATCAGTAGGATCCTTTCTAAAGGGGGCTCGTACACAATATGTTGAAGGAGCTGTTCTTTCAAAAATCTTTGAATCCCTCGACAAAGCAGCAGCAATAGATGCTTCTGGCGTTTTGCTTGTTGTTAGATCCCGAAGACCAGATTTCTTACACGAAAAGGTTATACTAAATGAGTTAAAAAGTTGACGGAAAAACAGAAGTTATACAATCCCAACCTAAGAGTTACCTGAATCTTGTCCGCAACTTCTAATATAGTGAGGCCCATGCTTCCCTCAAGAGAAAGAACATGAAATGCTGCAAATTTGACTGTACCAGGTGTCAATCGATGCCTAGATCTCCGTGGGTTGGAGAAACCCCTCTCTTGCATTATGGCAAGAGCATTTCCAGCTGCAACTCCATTGCGTAAATTGGAAATGATGTCTTCACCATCATTAACCTGCACTTGTGCAGCAACATACACAGACGCAAAAAGGTTAAACAAGCTTTGGACAATAGTGTACACTAATGTGTTGCTAAAATTCAGTTTTTTTTAAAATTTATACTATTTTATTTTCTGGTGGCCAAAAGGTTGATGAAAAACATCTGCAAGCCTTGCAGTACATTGGGTAATGTCATAAATTTCCCAATGTTCTCAACAAATTTAAGAGAAAGATATGGACAAATATTATGAAATTTGTAACAAAATCTTAAAACTCAGCTATAACTTACTAGGAAAAGAATTATATGAGAGGAAAAATATACAATTTACATGATGAACTGCAGTCTGGACAGCCAAAAAAAATATGAAGCACATTTTATAGCATACATCCGGCAGCTACCTAAGAGAAATTACTTATTAAATAATAGGTATAATAAAACTAACTATTGATGGATAACTAGCACCTCAAATGGCAGGGGAAGTTGCACCATCAAAACTATAACAATACTCTCTTACACATAATATACAAGCTAAATGTTTATACTTCATGAGGCTGACACAGCTTTAAGCCTATGATTGTTTATTCTGGCTGTGCATGGGTAGACTCAAACTGCCAACCTAAGTTCAATGGCCAAAATTCATATACAAGGGATAACCAAAAATTTAATGCATAAAGGTTTGCATATGTTTTAACCAAATTTGCAATGACTTTCATACCACTGCTAAACCTAGCATAGTAAAAAATTCTTATCATGGCTGCTTGCAAACGATGAATCAACTTCTACATTGAAACATGAAATTCTACACGGAAAGAGATCATACCTCATTTTCATCGCGGAGGTATGATTGTTCAATACTTCTTTTCTTCAATTTTGGCCCAAAACCTGCAGATAGAGCAAACTGCCGCAATATTTCAGGCCATGTCAATGGATTTAAGTGGCGCTGCCAGGTGCGTATATCAAAACCCCAAGCATATGCCTGATAAAACATACACTATCCAAATGCTTTAGAATGAATAAGTGAGGTATAAACTTTAGTTGAAATCAAATTGCAAACCCATTAGAGAACAGAACTTACCCCTTCAACAATGTGTGGATGCCCACCTCCAGGATTAACAGCACAGTTTTGGTTTGTTACCAGCCCGGTGGAGGGTGTCCTTGCGACATCTTCAATATCTTTAATTATTGACCTCAGAAGAGCAACATTTATCTCGCCCAACAACCTTGGATCCTGAAAATTATAGGAGCAGCCATGTAGTATGAATATCAAGAAAAAAACAGCCCAAATAATAATTGAATGTCAGAATTGGACATCAATATCTCAAGAACTTACATAATCGTGAAAAGCTTGAACAAACTCATCCAGAGTAAATGGCCAAAGCCCCAGAACATCAGCAAAAGTAATCAAAAATCGCCAAACCTAAGAATTAAATAAAAAGTTTGCAACATTACATGTCCATGAAACTTAGGCTCAGTCCCTGAAGTTGCAGAAAATAAAAATTATAAGATTAAAAACATAAACTTCATAAAATTGGAAGTTCAGTGCTAAACAAACTTTTCATCCTCGAAAATTACACTTAGTGGTACTTGGTCCATGAAGATAATTGTGTTAATTCAATCATTAAAGTTTCAAATTGTGACTGGTCCAGTTATAAGCTTCTGTCCAAGAATGTAATGAAATTAGACACAAATCAGCTTGTAATTGCTTTAATGTGCTTAATTTCGCAAGGTTGTGGATGGAAATTAACAATTGGACCATTTAAACACATTTGAATACAACATTAACATTAAATATAGTGAAGTTTTGCTTGGCCTAAAACATATAGGATATGGGCAATACAAAACCAAGAACAAAATAGGGAGCTTGATGAAACCACCGGATCAACGAGAAGATGCTTCAAAATTCACATCAATTCAAGTACCATTAAGAATTTGAACCTAATTTACAACTTAACCCTTACGAAGAAGAGAAATTACGTGAATGTTGATGTGTGTGGTAGAACGCTAGAAATATATACAAACAATATTCTTTTCAATGTTTATCTGGATGTAGTTGTCTGTCTGCTATGTGAAAAAAGCACATTTTGTATTAAATTAAAAATCAAAGACAAATCAAAAACAGTTCTTGTGATTACCCAGTTTAACCAAAGATAAACCAAGCAACCTACATCACAAGAAAAAAGAGAATAGACAATGAGAAAGCATCCCATTATATTGGCTTGTGCTTGTGAAAATGTTACAAAAATTTAAATTCCTCATTACTACATGAGTGACCTTAAAACCAACGACTGACACCACTTATCCATGACTCACCACTTTGACAAGACCCAAAGTGTTACTTGTAACATCGAACACCA